AAGAAGCAAAGAACACAACCACCAACGTTTGTCATGCACGAAGCTGAGAGAAACGCATGGAGATTTGACCGTACTCCACACAGGACATGCTTTTGGTTGTTCAAAGAGGGACCAGGTGGAAGTCAGATTGATTTTCATTCATATGGAAACATTAATGTTGATTGACTTTGCCTTTCATTCTGTTTCTGGTCTTATTATTGAATGAAGAAATTGGGTAATTAAGATGACAAAATATTGTTGGAGCATAAAGACAAAGAAAAGGTTGGCACCGCAAGCTTGAAAATGGGTTCCTTGAAAAATCCTCATGCATAGATTTTAGCAAAAATTCTCATGCCTTAGATTTTAGCAAAAATATTTATGGATTGTGATAGCATCTACAAGCACGTTTCATATTTTTATAGTTAAAATTTAGTTAAAAATTTATAAAATTTGAACTACAATCACTCTCTCTAGTTTAGGGAATTATAAATACTATAATAATTATTTTTTAATTTAATATAAATGGCTCATATCTATAAAATAAAATTAAAATTAGTATTAATTAAAATATTAAAATATTCATAAAACAAAGCAGCATTAAATTATAAGTAGCCACTAGGAGTCTTTTCACTCTCCTCATATTTAGAAGCTCCTAGATGTTTCTCTATTTTAGGAAGTTGATAGAGAGTATGGTTAGAGTTCTATTTCTCCTTAAAATTGGTCTAAATAAGTGCTTTGACAAATTCCTAAGATTTTCTCGTGAAATAACCTTTTTTTTTGGGGGGGTGGTGGGGTCAAGAAGTATACCAATTGGAATGTAAACCTTGAAATGTGAAACAATGGACAGTGGGACATGAAGAAGAAAAATGAGGCGAAGGGTAAAGAGCCCAATGGATTCTGGTTGAGAATCCCCAACCAGAGTTCAGGTATGCTTTAAGACTCGACGGTGGGCTTAAGAAGAAGAGGCCTAACTGATTTTGTGCCTGGTTGATCAAGTTCTTGGTGGCCCTTTCAAACTGGGCTATGTACAGGAAACATTGGAATTGTGGGCCTTAGTCAGCAAGAATCTACTCACCTAGTTCAGAACAAATTTGAGCCCACATTCTCGGCCGTGGACACATGAATTTTGGTAAAACCTTTAACGTTGGTGGTCAAACCAAGTTAGGGAGGTGGGCTTATGATCAACGTGGTGGTCAAACCTTCAAACCTATCCTAACTTGATTTTTTTTTCAATAGTTGTTATCGTGTAATAGAAAAAATTGACTATGGAGAAAAATATGTGTAACACCTTGAGTTGAACCTTTAGAAGAAAAGAAAACCAAGAAAATTTTATTTGGTTATTTGGTTATGACCTAGACCTTAACTTAGATGGCTTATCTTTTTTCTTTATGTTTAAGTCCGTTTGTATAGCACTTTGTTGTTTTTCCCACCATTGGAATGGCTACATCTTAATTAAGAGCATTTTGCAATATTTTAAAGTTGATTACTAAGTAAAATGACTTGCTAGTGTAGTGATTTTGGAGAATTTGCTCATCCAAGACAAGATCCTGAGTTCAAATCCTAGCATCTGTGTTGTGTGTGTGAGAATTTAGTATATTATCGCTCCTCTCAATAGGAAAGGAGCCAAGACTCCTTAAGTCAAATAAATTTAGTATAGAATTGGTTCCTTGTGCTAATGTTATTAGCTATGACATCCACCCTCCCCAATAGATCATCATGTCATCTAGACTCATGTCACACTTGTGTTAGGCTCGTTTTGACCTCTCGGATTTTCCGGTATTTTTAGATTTCCCATATCTCAAGGAAGTACTACGAAAATAACATTAATGCTCAACTTGAGCAACTCTTCACCAAACAAGCGAGCTCTCATCATTCACTCAAACTCCTCCATATAATCACTTTTAGTGTTACGATAACATAACTCTAAGTACGACATCCTGTGACATCTTAAGATGCGCATATTTTATAAGTAAGATGAACAAAAGAAAATTGTTGTAGTGTGTTTGGAAAGATGGAAACTTTGCAAGAATTAATAGTTAGCCTAACTGAATCTCAACATTAGCATATTGTTGTAGGCAATACTAATAATCTAACATATTGTTGACCTCCGAATCTTTTTGGCCACGTGTCAATTATTTCGGAATAAAATAATAGATTGGGCCGAGCGGACCTGGCGTAACAAAGACGTCGTGCTTCGGCGTGCTGTGGTATGCGGGCATGCATCACGGATGGACGTGCGAATGATTTGTGGATGAATGGATAGATAAGTGGATGCATTGTGTGATCTAACTTTTTACAAACGATTGTGGTTGAGAGAAGAACAAGCCTCGGTTGTTATGTTCACAGCCTAAACTATAAGGTCGTTGGAGTGGTGAAGATGGTTGGTATGTTGAATACATCGCCGAACTCGGTAGCTTGGCGATGGTGGCATTGAGCTTGGTAGCTTAGCATGCGAGTATCTGAAGGAATCTGGATGGAAATGGTAGTGCTCAAGAAAATGCTTAAGAAATGTGGGTATCAAAAGAACTTTCTTGTTAAGATATTGATGGATGGAATGAAGTGGGGACTGCCCACGAATCCCAGAACGATTTCTGGAATTCGTTGCGATAGTTATTGATAGTTACTCCTACTCCTATGAAAGCATTTGAAAGATACATGATAAAAGATAAAGATTTTTGCTCGATGAGGCTTTTTGATTTGGTGTTGGACCCTTTGAGCATTGATGGGGATCCTCTATTTTTAGGCTGGTAAACTCTTCGTGCCCTTCAAATCTTCCTTTATACGCTATTGTTCGTGATTGGTTAAAATGGGTGATGGAAAAGAAAACCTTTGGTCAAGTTCTGACAACTTGGGCAGTAGAAAAGGTAACCTTCGGTTGCGACGAGTCGATAACTCCTTACTCATTCATCCGGTCAACATACTTTCGGCTTAACTACCTTTTTGGTCACTGGTTCTCCGCTTGAACCTCGAACACTTCTACTCAGTCGTGTATGTGGACCCTTGGGCCTCATCTCCTAGTATTTCTTTTTTGAAAGCGCATCTTGTTTAAAGCCCAAGAGTGTGAAAAATGGGGTCTAAACACATACTCCAACCACTAAAGAGTATCGAGAAACGTGCTTGGTCCTTACAAGCAAAACAAGAGACGTGCATGGACTGGAGGCATGGCGGACCATCACAAGCAAACAAAAATGTCTGTGTGGTGAGTGAAACAGACACACGAGAGGCATGGGGGGACATCACAAGCAAACAGAACGTGAAATGTCTGTGTGGTGAGTGAAACAGACACACCATAGGCATATTGATTTTTCTTACCCACCGGTTGAGAGGCTTGAGAGACAATGTGCTAACCCCCATGCGTCAACCACCGTACAACAAAGACCTAACTTCTCATCCCCTCAAATAAGTTAGTGAATATGTAAATTAAATTAAACTTACCCCTCTACTCTACCAAAGCAATATTGAGCATTTTTTTTATTTTAAATTTTTGATGTGACATCAACCTGTCTTTGGGAAAATATTTGTCGTGCTTATAATTGAATCCTAACTCGCGTCCCTTCAATCGAAAATGTCTATTAACAATATTAGTAATGCTATTTGAAATTTTAATACATTAATGTAAGGTATTTAAAAGCATTTCCTTTTTTGTGATATTTTATCCATGTGTTCTTAACAAAATAAAAAGAAAAAGAATGTTTCGCTGTCGTTCAATCTCCAACGCACACGACCACAAGAGCCACATAAGGTTGGTATAAATTACAGTTAGGACTATATTAATTGACTATTAATAACTATTCATCTAAAATGACCTCTCATTAATTTTAATTTAGAGTTAAACCCAATTTAGAGGTGATCTTTCTTTCAAATAACAACTTTACATCTACAGTTCAAGAACTATATGCCTATACTATATAAAAATATGTATATGGACTGCGCATTTTCTCTTTGTTTTCTTTTTCAATTTTAACGTGTCAACTCTCCCATCCATACTCCTTAAAAACAAATCAAATAAATATTTCTATTATTGTTATCGTCTTTAAACTTAAAGCTCATCACTTCCAATTCAACTAATTTAATTAATACTATTTCAAAACAAACAAGGTCAAAAGTCACTTTTGGTCTCTATAGTTTGGCACTTCGACCACTTTTGGTCATGTAGTTTCAATTCCGTCAATTTTGCCATTGCAGTTTCGTATTTGTTGCAATTCAAGGACAAGTTAGTATTCCTGTCAATTTCTTTGACGATGCAAAGGGCAATTTCATCAACCCAAAACCCTTGAGCGTAAAAACTTGTCTGAAAATCTCTCAATTTCATATTAGGGCTCGAAATTCAACCACTAATCTCAATTTTTGAAGAACATTAAACCCAAATGACCAATTTCAAGCCCTAATATGAAATTAGGGGAGTTTCAGATGAGCTTTTATGCTTAAATATTTTGGGTTGACGAAATTGCCCTTTCTACCGTCAAAGAAATTGACAGGAATACTAACTTGTCCTTGAATTGCAACAAATATGAAACTACAGAGTCAAAATTGACGGAATTGAAACTACAAGGTCAAAAGTGGTTGAAGTGCCAAACTAAAAGGACCAAAAATGATTTTTAAGCCAACAAACAATAATATTTACCGACTCTTTTGAAAGAAATATCCAATATTAATTTTGTATCTTTATATTTTCTTAAAAAATTACAAGGCTCCACGTTAGTCATCAGCTTCACTAGCTAGCTTGCAAGTTGATCATAGCTTATACAATTCATGTGGAGCATAGGTGTTCATTTGCAAGCACGTGGCGGGTAGCAACCCCCGCAAACCCACACATGAATTGAATTGAATATTTTGCTGGAAGGTCTTTCATCAAGTGTCTGCTACATGTATATATAGAGAGCTTCAGCTCTGACTAAAATGCCAAGATCAAAACATATACAGATTCTTAAATTGTACGCGTGCCTTCGAGTGAGAGAGACATTAATAATCTTAGCTAGCTCTTTTTTGTTAAGGAGTGAGAGAGATATTACCATAAGAAGATGGTTGTGAAAGTGTATGGTCCAGTCAAGGCAGCCTGCCCTCAGAGGGTTATGGTTTGTCTTTTGGAGAAAGGAGTGAATTTCGAAATTGTTGATGTTAATCTTGAGGTGGGAGAGCAAAAGCGACCTCAGTTCCTCTCCCGTCAGGTACTTTATATGTGTATGTATGTATAGAGTAATGTTCTCTTGTCATACTTATATTTACGCAAGAAGCAAGGTTGTTTTGTTAATGTTACAACAATTCGTTTAGCTAATAGATATTATTTGTCTTGCAGCCGTTTGGTCAAGTTCCAGTAGTAGAAGATGGTGATTTCAGGCTATTTGGTAAGAGCCTTAATATAATCACTAATGATTACTATCATAACATGTCTATTTATGACTTGCGTATCTTTTTCTGTTATGTCCAGAATCTAGGGCTATTATCAGATACTACGCAGCCAAGTATGCCGACCGTGGTCCCAACCTATTGGGAACAACCCTGGAGGAGAAGGCTCTGGTGGATCAGTGGCTGGAAGTAGAAGCTCACAATTTCAATGACTTGGTTTACACTCTGGTACTTCAACTTCTGGTGCTGCCTCGCATGGGGGAGCGTGGTGACGTGGCCTTGGTCCATGCATGTGAGGAGAAACTGGAGAAGGTGTTCGATGTTTATGAGGAAAGATTATCAAAGAGCAGCTATCTGGCTGGAGAAGCTTTCACTCTGGCTGATCTGAGCCATCTTCCAGGGATAAGATATCTGATTGATGAAGCTAAACTGGGGCATTTGGTGACTGAGAGGAAGAATGTGAATGCTTGGTGGAAAGACATATCCAACAGGCCTGCTTGGAAGAAACTAATGAGCCTTGCTAGTGACTAGCTACTGGATATGAGATACCCCCAATATTTCATGTGGAAGAAAGAACTGAGAGAAAGAAAAAAAAGAGTAGTTAATAAATAATCTTCTGTTATGTGAGAAAATTACCCCCAAAAAAAGGATGTGATAAAGAGAACAACATTTTCCCTTTATGTAATGTATGTCATGTGTGGCAAATTTGATTGTGTCAATAAAATGGAATAAATGTTTTTTTTTTTCAATTAATTATTTACCCTTTATGGATTGGGGGACAAATATTTTTGACGCACATTATTACACACATTGTAGACTGTTAGATTAAAGCACATTCAGCGGTTGAGATTACATCCATTATAATAATTAATTGTGATTACCACAACAAATTTGATACTTAATGTTTGGTTATTCTCTCTCCTCTCTCCTTTCTACATTATCGTGCCGTTCCTTTTCCCCACTTGACTCCACTTTCTCTCACTTAAATCAATTTTCTCCTTCCAACTTCGTTTCTCTCTTCTTCTTCAGAAGTTCTTCTCCTTCAAACTCCGTTGGGAACTCATCAGCTCCCCTAATTCTTTTTTATTTTTATAGAAGCTCTCCTAATCTTTAATCCAGTTCACATGGAGTTTTCATTGGTCCAGATGTCATGGATGACTCTGATTCCTCAACTCGATGTTTTTTCCCTGAAGATTGCAAAACAATAATTTCTATAGTTGAATTGGAATATAAAAAAGAATGTTATCCTCTTTCTCTTTTTTCTTTTCTTTCAATCCTTGGCTTGCTACGAGATGACACCAAACTAGATGAACATGAAAGGTACTAAAAGATCTCAGGAGGAAAGAAAGTCCATCCATGTCACTTTGAAACTCAAAGTCTCAAAACATAAACTTTAATGTCCACAGACCAATCATTTTCATTCAAAAATCTCTGTTTTTCAATTGTGGTTTTGATGGAGAAGAGAGAAGAAGGATGAGGATATGAACAAATCCATTGTTGAATAAAGAGCCATTTTAATCATCAGGAAGCCTTGTGGTGGACCGAAGCTATATGAACAAATCCATTGTTGCTCATCGTCCTCCTCCAGCTCCAATAGATATAATCAGAATTGTTTTTTCATTTTTTATTTTGTTTAAATGTTTGAGAACAAATGAAATTAATAAGTTTCTGGTTAAAAATTTATGGGGAGAGAGGAGAGAGAATGGGTTAGGGTTACTTTCGAGGCATGTTATTAATCATGATTAAGAGGGTGTTGATTGCTTTTAAAATGCAATCTTAGCTATTAAAACTTATTTAATCTAAAAGTTGAAAATGCGTGTATATCTGTGGGGGTGGGAGCTGAATAATTCCTCAACTACTTGCTTGTCTCTTTCCACATTTGAAGTGGGTGAATAGAAATTAATGGAAAGCTGCGTATGCATCAACTAGTTCTGTTAGAGGTGTCAAACGGGCCGTGCCGTGCCGGCCCATTCCATTTAAACTCGTGCTTTTAACGTTTTCGTGTCGGGTCGGGCTGACCCATTTAATTTATCGGGCCGTGCCGTGCCGGCCATTTAGTAAAATTATTGATCCCGGCCCGGCCCAAAGCCCATTTCCATATTGAAACGGGCCGGGCCGGGCTCGTGCCGTGCCCGTGCTCGTGCCATACTCGGGCCCAAGAACCAATTCATTTAATTTGAATTTTTTTCACTTCATTTTTTTTTTCACTAGATAATTCAAATTATAAACATTAAAAATATAATTAGAGGCAAGAAATGATGAACTATTTGAAAACATTAATCAATTACACTTCCAAACAATATGAAAATGGCATAGGGCAAAAAGTGTCAAACTCTATAAAGTCCACTTCAACTTTTCATCTTTAAACAACTTATTATTTTATATGTAAAATAATGTCTTGCTTTGATTATAAGAGAAGCATATATGTCATATGTACTGATTAGATATCAAGTCCAATATTGTTTAATTAATTTGTAGTTGATATGTTTAATTAATTGAGGACCCAAGTAATTTCCCTAGAATGAAAGACATCAAATATATATTTATGATTAAAAAAACATATAAATAATGACATTAGATGTCAAATTATTGCATTTTGACTTTTGAGAAAGAAAAAAATGTTAAGTGGGCTGTGCTTGGGCTCGTGCCGTGCTTGAAGCGTGCTCGAGCCAAGCCCGGCCTATGTCGGGCCAGGGGCTGGCCCGGTCCATTGGACCTCATTTTTTGATCCCGGCCCGGCCCAAGTTTTCGTGCCATGCCGAGCACAGCCCCTTAATATTCGTGCTCGTGCCGTGCCGTGCCTCATTTAAATGGGCTGGGCTCGTGCCGTGCTGGGCCGGCCCGTCACGTTTGACACCTTTAAGATCTGTACCCTACCTAGCGTCTGGCGATGGTGATGGTGATGGAGAGAAACTTTCCTGGCAGGGGACCAGGTCTGTTTTCTCATTGCATATCCTAGCCCAATGTGATTGTGACCAAGGTTGATAACATAAATACCCAACCTTCATGTCTCTCATCACTGGACCTTCAAACCTTTCTGTTCACATACATTTGCCTAGGGGTGGGCATTGGAACCGCAAAACCGTAAAACCGAACCAAACCAATCCGGAAAAAACCGAAAAAAACCGTGTTGACCGAAAAAGTCAAAAACCGAGAAAAATCCAAACCGAACCGGTTCAGACCGGTTTCGGTTCCGGTTTTCCACCCTTAGGAACCGGTCCAATCCGAACCGGTCCAATAAAATTAATATATATATATTTTTATATTATATTTGAAATTATATAAATATTTTTATACTTGGCTAAGTTTGATTGGGTGTCTACACTACTACCATAGGCGCGCATCACAGAGGAAAAAAAAAAGACTGACTGAAACGGCCTAGGTTTTTTCGTTCCTCTCTTCTTCGATTTCATTTCTTCTTCGTTCGTTCCTTTCCTTCATTCATACAGAGCTGCCCCCTGAGTCAGAGAAACGACCTGGGTTTTTTTTGTCTTCGTTCCTCTCTTCTTCGATTTCATTTCTTCTTCGTTCGTTCGTTCCGTTCCTCTTCCTTTCCTTCATTCTTCGTTCGTTCGTTCGTTCCTTTCCTTCGTTCGTTCCTTGCCTTCTTCCAAACCTCTATTTCTCTCTCAGTCTCAGCCATCACGTCACACCTCTCTGCCGTCGCTCTTCTTCCAGTCGCCGCCGTCGTTCTGTCGCTCTTCTCTCTCTCAGCCGTCGCGCCGCCGTCTCTCTCACTCACGCAGCCTGCAATTCAAGAGATGTCATCCGACCTCAAGAGATGGAGTTCCATGTCGTGACGCAGGTATAGATTCTGTCTTTTCTTTTTATTTTTTGACAAATTTTCCATGGAGTTCCTACAATTCAAAATCTTCTGACAAGTTTTCTTTTTTGCTCTGCACTTGGGCAATGTTGTTGTTTATGTCTTTTTTGGTAATGCTAGGATTTTACTACTTGGTTTTTAATTGGGTTTTTGTGTATTGAGTTGGATAGATCTGGGGTAGCTCAGTCATTGGAGAACTGGGTTTTCGGCATTTGGGATTGTGAGGACTTGCTTTTGGTGAATTGAGTATTGTAGTATTTGAGTTTTTAGATCTTGGTTGATTGATTGGGTTTGATTGTGGCAGCTTTTCAATTGCTGCTTGAGAAAGTTAGCATTCTTTTCCTTCATTTGCCGTTGAGGATCTGGTTTATTTGACATGGTGAAGATGAAACTAGTAAAGTTGGTACCTTTGGTTCTTGCTTTTGTATTGCTTATGAGTCTTAGATCATCTGCTTCATTCACTCCTATCGATAACTACTTAATTGCTTGCGGTTCTTCGAAAAGCATCACATTTCAAGGTCGAACCTTTGTTCCTGATACACAACAATCTTCCCTTGTACTAAAAGTGCAAATTCTGTAGTTGCTAGCTCCAATTCTACTGTCCCTTCTCCAATTTACCAATCTGCTCGAGTTTTCAAGGCAGCAGCTTCTTACAAATTCAAAATCCAGCAAGAAGGCCGGCATTGGGTCCGCCTTTATTTTTACCCTCTTACAAGTCCTGGCCAAAACTTGGAGTCTGCTCAATTAACTGTTGTTACTAATAATTTTGTACTCTTGACCAACTTCACTTTCAAGAACTATAATGGTTCTTATCTGTTCAAGGAGTATGCAATCAATGTAACTTCAGATACCTTGACTCTCACCCTCATTCCTTCAAACAATTCAGTTGCTTTTGTTAATGCAATTGAAGTTGTATCTATCCCAGATGCACTGCTCTCTGACCAGGCATATGCTGTGAATCCATCTGCTCCTTTTAGTGGCCTTTCTGACCTTGCCCTTCAAACAGTTTACCGGTTAAACATGGGGGGTCCTTTGCTCACTGCTCAAAACGATACCCTTGGAAGAACTTGGGAGAATGATCTGAAATACCTTCATGTGGACAGTTCTGCAGTGAATGTATCAGTCAACCCTGCGAGCATTAAATATCCACAGGCTGTCACAGCCGAAATCGCACCAAATTGGGTCTATGCAAAATTTCATTTGTTATTTATTATGTATGTATGTATGTATGAATGTATGCATCTTAATGCAGTGACAATATATAGAGGGCCTAGAGGCACTGTATGTTCCATTATTTGAATATCCCTGTTTGATGGGTAGAATCTTTGTCATATCTGGGAGTGTATTGGTTAATGGAATTTTATTATTTTTTCGGTGGTTTTTTAGCAGGTTTGCTTCATGATCGGGAATGGGTTCTTACAAGCCTAAGTGGTGAAATTCTTACACAGAAGAAGGTGAAATACCAATTTAGTAGTTTTCGACCAAAAAAAACCATTTTTTCTTTTATTGACAGCTTATGGGTTCTTCTCTTTCATCAGTGCTGATACTAATACCTTCCTTCATGCTAATGTCTAGGGTTGGCATCATCCTCTCAGCAGCAGCTCACGGTGGTAAATACACCTCCATAGGCTCGAAGTTTCATTGGTTTCACGCAAACCAGCATCAATTTTCTCGCAGCTTCCATCAGCAGCAATTCTGTCTATCTCAGGTATTCTTCATCTCTCTCTCTCTCTCTCTCTCTCTCTCTCTCTCTCAGATATTTTGAATTTGATGTTTTGCAACTGAAATTTGGATGTTTGCAACTGAAATTGGTTTTGATTATATCTGTATGTTTAGATTATATCTGAAATTTGGATGTTTGCAGCTGAAATTGGTTTTGATTATATCTGTATGTTTAGATTATATCTGAAATTTGGATGTTTGCAGCTGAAATTGGTTTTGATTATATCTGTATGTTTTGATTATATCTGAAATTTGGATGTTTGCAGCTGAAATTGGTTTTGATTATATCTGAAATTTGGATGTTTGCAGCTGAAATTTTGATGTTTTGCAATTGAAATTTGTATAGCTTGTATGATAATTGGTTTTGATTATATCTGTATGTAATTTGATTATATCTGTTTTAAATTGAGGGCTTGTTTTTTGTTAGTATCATGTTTAAGTTGCTTTTTTTTTGTTTCTTAAAGAAATCATGAATGAGTCAAACCCATTTGGAGAGGTACATCCCACTACTAATAGTGAAGTTGGTTCATCATCCGCATCCGTATCCACATCCGCATCCGCATCCGCATCTTCTTCAACACCTTCATCCACTTTACCTAACCCTCAAACACTAACTCAAAGTACACCTCAACTGAGTGGTCTTCCACCATTACCTCATTCCGGCCCAAAAAGAGAAAAATCGGAAGTATGGGATCACTTTGAGAAATATGAAGAAGTGGTTGAGAGTGTGAAGGAGGATGGGAGCAAATATGCAACCACTAAGAAGAGAGCTAGGTGCAAGTATTGCACTATGAGCTATGCAGCAGACTCTACTAGAAATGGGACCTCAAATTTGAGGAAACATATTGAAAACTTATGTAAGAAATATCCGGGAAGGGTTCCTAAAGATAAACGGCAAAAGCTCTTGTCTTTTGACCAAGAACATGGGGTTCTTACATCAACAATGCATGGTAAAGAAGAGTGGTTAAAGGCATGTGTAGAGATGGTAGTAATGGATGAGATGCCGTTTAGTGTGGTTGAAGGAAAAGGGTTTAGGCGGTTTTGTAATTCTTTGAACCCCCATTTTCAAGTGCCATCGCGTAGGACACTTGTGAGGCATTTCATGGTAATGTATGATGCCATGAAACAAAAATTGAAAGAAGAATTAGCACCACATAGAGTATGCCTCACAACGGACACTTGGACAAGTGTTCAAAACATCAATTACATGGTCATCACGGCACACTTCATAGATGGTGATTGGAACTTGCACAAAAGAATCTTGAACTTTTGTGTGATTTCCAATCACAAGGGGAACTCAATTGGTAAACTCCTTGAGTCATGCTTGCTTGATTGGGATTTGAAGAAGATATTAACCATCACGGCCGATAATGCTTCTTCAAACACAAAGGCTATAGATTACTTGAAGTCGAAAATGGGCCATTGGGGAAATGGTAGTCTTTTATTAGAGGGAAAGTATATGCACATTAGGTGTTGTGCTCATATTGTGAATTTGATAGTTCGTGATGGGTTGAAGAAGTTGGAAAAAAGCATAGTGTGTATAAGAAATGCTGTGAAGTATGTAAGATCTTCTCCCAAAAGGTTGGAGGACTTTAAGAGTTGTGTTAAGAAAGAGCAAATTGAATGCAAAGGGCTTGTGGTGTTGGATGTGCCAACAAGGTGGAATTCCACATATATGATGTTGGAAGCCGCCTTAAAGTTTGAAAAGGCATTTTGGAGAATGGGAGAAGATGATGAAGGCCCATATATTTCTTGGTTTGGTGAAGATGAACCGGATCTTGAAGATGGGGTGGTTATGTCTCATTATCCTAGAAAGAGGGAAGGACCACCAACTAATGAAGATTGGAACAATGCTCGTACCTTTGTGAATTTTTTGAAGGTATTTTATGATGCTACATTGAAGATGAGTGTCACTTTGCATCCCGCTTCCCACACCACATTTCATGACTTGATTGCAATGGAAGAAGAAATTGAGGATTTGTTGATGGAAGAGGAGGAAATATTAAGTGAAACCCAAACCTCCAAGGTTTTGAAGGACATGGCACTTAACATGAAGATGAAGTTTAAAAAGTATTGGGGTGACCTTGATAAATTGAACCAAATTTTGATGGTTGCTCTTGTTCTTGACCCTCGATACAAATTGGGGAACTTGGAGTTTATCTTGAAAAGCCGGTTTGAAAACCCGGAAGATGCGGTTAAGAAGAAGAATGAGATCAAAGAGATTTTAAAGAAGTTTTATGAAGAATATGCCATGCCACCACCACCACCACCACCTACTCAAAGTAGTAGTTATTATTCTAGTGATACTACTACAATGAGTACAAGTAGTAGCCGAGGGGGAAAGAAACGAAGGCAAATGACCGAAAATTGGAGAAAAGAGACTCGAGCAAATGATGTTGTGGTATTGGAGCATGAGATTGATAGGTACATCACCGACCCTATTGAAGATGTGGTTGATGAATTTGATGTTTTGAAGTGGTGGAAATTGAATGGGGTTAAGTATCCGGGGTTGGCACTTATTGCAAAGGATGTGCTTGCCATCCCGGTATCAACGGTGGCTTCGGAATCATGCTTTAGCACGGGTGGTCGGGTAGTTAATTCATTTCGTGCTTCTTTGACTCCTAAGATTGTGGAGGCCTTAATTTGTTCTCAAAATTGGTTAAGGTCGGATGACATTTCCTCGTTACAATATGAGCCAACAATTCAAGAGATGGAGTTCTATGAATCGATTGAATTAGGTATGTCTTTGTAATTTTATATGCTTTATTAATGTATTATATAATGTTTATGTTTGACTAATATTTTAATGGGTTTATGTTTTTTTTATGTAGATATTATGAGTTCATCCACACCTAGCACCATAGCTCCAACTACTTTTCAATGTTAGGAGGAATTTAATGAAGTTGGATTGAATTTGGGTTGTAATGTATATTTGAATTGAATTTGGGTTGTATTTGGCTAGTAATTTATTTTGAAACTTATTTTGTTGAAGTTTGATTGAATTTGGGTTGTAATTTATATGTTGAAGTTTGATTGAATTTGGATTGCATTTTTGTTGAAGTTTGATTGAATTTGGGTTGTAATTTATATGTTAAAGTTTGATTGAATTTGGATTGCATTTTTGTTAAAGTTAGATTCATTTTGATGCGTTGAAAGCTTGATAGAACCTCAAATTTGAGGTATGTTAGTATATAAATTCATTTTGGGCAGGTTTGTTTATTATTATTTATAAAAAAAAAAAAAAAAAAACAGAACCGTTGGATTCGAACCGGAACCGGACAGGTCCGGTTTGGTTCGGATTTCTGTATGGATATTGAGCAGAACCGGTCCAAACCGAACCGGATTGCACTATTGGATCAGGTTCCATTTTTCTCCAAGAACCGGTCCAAACCGAACCGTGCCCACCCCTACATTTGCCACAAAATACAACCTTAGGCTAAAAACAGCACAGGAATCTCTCATGAGCTCTGAGTTCCTGCGGGTCTGCTATTTCCCTAGAAATACAAGTATAAGACCTCACGTGTTGAGCAAATGCTCTTAACCACTTGAACTACAAGTCTCTTGTATGCCTACAAATTTTTATTCAAAATCAACTAATTATTCCCAACACATGGGCTCAGACTAGAAAATAAAAGAAAAGGCTACAACTTCAATCTTGATTTCGTGGGTATTCTGAGTTTGGGAAAATATGAGAGGAAAGTTGAATGTGGGGATTTTATGGGAGGAGACGATAGAAACTCAGCTTTGCTTAAACGGGCACTTAGAATTGGTTAGCATATAGTAAAATATGTTTTCTTACTTACGTTCTGTAGCCGATTACAAAACAATTTCCTGTAAACATTAGAAAATTAAAAAAAAAAAACTTTTTTTGTTGTTGGAGCAGATGCATGCTTTATAAAATAGAAGCATCCTCAAAAAGTACAAAAGATAGCAAGGACACCATCCGAAACCCAAATGTGAAAGACTGAGAAAATAACGTAATTTTAAAAAAGATTTATAGTGCATGAACTAAACACAGGGAAACAAACAAAAAAAACATGAATCTTAGTCACCTCTTCAAAATGCTAACCACGTGCGGATATACCAAATATATTTTCTGCAAACCTCAACCCCAAACATTTTCTTTACATGCAAACCTCATCACCCTCACAACCTTATGGTCATTTCCACCATGATGAAATCCGAACCCGATAGCAACGACATAGGTTGTATCTTGAATGACTATGGGAAGTCTTTTGATTTTTTTGATTGACAGATTATATAGATATACAGAATTCTGCAAACTATCAGAGATGCAAAGCAATCCATTGCAAGAACCATTAACGACATGAGAAATGTGTGGCACAGGAACACTTAAATCAGAACACTTGGAAAATGTTTGAGCACAACAGATTGAAAAGTAATTTCTTGTTATGCTAGTGTGGATAGTAGTAGATACATTTTTTTTTTTTTTTTTTTTTTTTTTTTTTTTTTTTTTTTTTCTTTTTTCATGACGCTTTCTTTTTTCGAGAGATGGATGGGATAGGAGCTTATAGAAAACTGGGAAACTAGGGCTGCTAAAGTTAAAGTGTCCAAGATTCACAAATACATCGGAATCGCAAAAGCGAATTCACATGTAATCTTGCAAGGATTTGACACAATATATTTCTTCGGGTATATTGTCCATGAACACTTGTCCGTCTCTTGTTCGTCTACTTCCACAATTGAGAGTTGACATGTTGAAAACAAAAACTGTCTACAGAACTCAACTGGTTCCAAGATGACACAATGCAAGACACCATGATCAGAAACCAACTTCAACAAAAGAAGATGATACACAGCACTTAAGTCATGTTTGGAACTTCAACTAAGCAACATAAGAAAAACATCCGAGAAGTAAAGCATACCTGATTTTATGCCAATAAGGGAACCTAAATCCGAAACCCTTGCTATCAATCAAACAAAAACGCGAACCCTTAGTCATCAAATTCACATCCATCCACAAAACAAACAAATTCTTCAAAGAGAATGACAGGATCCCTGTACTCTAATGGTGGATTCGTCTGCGATCATCTTCATTTAGCCTGTTGAGTTTCTTTAGGGTTTTATTTTTTGGGTAAGGCTTTAGGGTTTTATAGACTACAGTCCTCTTCCAAGTCGTGTAAAACACCGTGTTTTTTGGAATTGATATGAATGTTTTCATGAAAGTCTTCATGAAACAATAGAATCGACAAAGGTCTCGGCCAGGAGGATACGAGTTCGACTGCTAAGAAAGTTCCATAGGACCTAGAATTCTTTGCATTTTTAATATTACATTTTCCTTATATTTGGTGTTGGTCCCTTTCTCCGACACTCTAGTTGTTCTGGGTCGAATTGCTCTGGAGGGTGGAAAGGTTGTCGGGTCAACACCAATGCCCCGATTGGATTTCTGGCCTGCAAAGGGATTCTTTCAACTTTTGAACAAAATTGAAAGTTGGATTAGGTTGACAAGAACGGGCGAGCTCGGACTATGCTGTCACGTCCCAACCCTCGAATTTACAAAACCTTGGGTTAAGACGTGATTCACACCTCAATTATAGAATTTAATAAAAACTATAACTAAAATGTGAAGAAAATATTTAAATAAATAAAATAAATATTTCACATAAAATATTCAGTAGAAATGTGGAAACGATAACATCTGAAACCATAAAATGTTATATTATTTTACAAGTTAGAACTACTCGATAGTTCACTAAAAGAGTAGCTCATTATTCAACCACAAGCTATATTACACTCTATAGACATGCCAAAAATCATCACAAGCTCTAGATTTCAGGTTCGGTACCTGCAAAATCATTTAGGGGGTGAGCGAAACCACAGCTCAGTAGGGACACAAACCTTTTCACAATAAATTGATATAATTAAATTAAGTGACAAATAATCAAGCAACCAAATTTCACATTATTAGCAACAATGAATGAATGCTCTTCATCTAAATCCCGTTAATTCATATAACTGGACAAGCAAACCTGCACACGTCTCATACCATGCTTATACCATTTAGTCCCGAATGCCCATTTATATGAACTAACACTCATTTCAATCATCTCACAATTTCCCTTTTGTTAGTCATCTTGTCTAACTCCCTTTCGCCAGTCCCGAATCACCCAATAAAAACCATGTGCACTGTGGGATGCTTGAGATCTGGTACATGCCAAGAGTTAGACTCAACTACACAAAAGACCATTCCCATTACCCTCTTTTTCCACCATTATTTTCTCAACCCAAGAACTCCAAATAATTTCCATGACATTATATATAGTTCACATATTTCATAAAAACAATATAATCATTTAAATATCACCAATGTACATATAATCATGCCCACATTATTCAAACAGTTAAGATTATGTAAACACCCAATACAAGTACCACGCATAATATAAAGCTCACAAAATTTAATTAAATCAATCTCTGAAAAAGGCCCCCAAAAGAAACCCCTTACCTTGATTCCAATGTTTTTACAACGTAAGAAAACTATATGATCCAACACCTTGAGTTCCTCCAAAGTCTCTCTTGTTCTACTAACACTCCTTCTCTCTATTACTTTCTTGTTCTATCACGCACTACCATGTATGTCATTCAAACAATCAAAGCAAATGATTCCTATTTATAGTAGCTAAAAGGCGGCAACTAGTTGATTTTAATTGGTGGAGGGATATGTGGCTTAACAGATAAGACTTTTGCTCCAAATTTTCACCAGCTCATGCTTACAAAAGGATTAGTCATCATAAATAATGACACTTGTAAAACAAAGTGAAATAGAAAATTGCAAACAATAAAAACTTAGCCTAAATGATTTGCATGTCACAAACCAAGTAAGGAAAAACTGTCACATGTTTAAAAGATATAATAAACATTCAACTCTATTTAAGATCCATTCCCCCTAGTCTTTTAGATTTTTACCAATAACTATTCTCATGCAAGAGGTGAACAACACATGCATCATAAACATAGACATATATAAGTACTATTATAATAGTATTCATAATAATTAGTATAAAATTATAACAACAATATTTACATATATGTACCAAGATAATTACTCATATAAATATAACCAATATATATTTATATATATTTTAAAATACGGATCTTCACATATGCCCCGATGACTTGTTTCTCTTGCCTAATTGCGGATTGCATAGGCGTGCCACTATTGGATATGAGACCAGCCCAATAGATTTGGTATATGTAGTGTAGGATATCGGTTTGTTGGACTTCGCACTTGTTCTAGACTTTTGCTCAAGTCATTGTGCTCCAAGGGAGTACTGGCTTGGATAAGTTCTTTTTTATGCCTCAATCAAGATGACTTCAATATTCTTTCATTCATATGTTGTTAGTTTAATAGATACGAACAATACCTGATCAAACAAGAAGGAAACCAGCGTTATGGTTAATGTTACCTTACTTGGCTTCAAAAACCTAACTTAGACCCGAGATGACCCTAGATTGGGTCAAGAGTTCAGCCGATTCTACCCCAGCAATATAGTTCGGACCCGAACAAGTCCTTACTTTCGGACTGATAAAGCCCTATTCAGGCCTAGACCTTTATCTTGGGTCCAAATAATAGGCTTGAATAATACAAAGGCGGGAAAATAAGTTATTCAACAAGAGTATATAATGCAGCTGAATAGCAAATATTTAAAGAGGAATAATGCTACTCTTACCACATTTGTATACCACATCCTTATACCATCTTATGTGGTAGCTGAGGTGGACAGTCACATCAATTAAAATTATTTGATATATATTTTTTTAATGATTTATTCTAGTATTTGTTTTTCTAATTGTCTTAATTAAAATACACTTAATTGATTTAATTGATGTGGAATATAATGTGGACATGCCACATCATGTGGTATAGAATGTGAGATAAAAATGTGGTAAGTGTAGCATTACTCTTTAAAGAGATAGCTAAGACAAATTTCAGAAAGTGGAGAGATTCAGATGTTAGAGACCTCTCTATCCAATTCTGGCTTGATAGCAAATAAAGATAAGAGCTAAAGATTTCTCCATTTAGCTAATTTCAAACACCATTACAATATAGAAAAAGCTGGAGATTTCTCTATCTAGTTTGAGTAACAAGTATGTTTACATCAATTCAAACTGATTGTTTAAAAGAAATCATACCATAAAGATGGCAGAGCGACAAAAGATAAACGTAGGAGTAGTCAACTGGTTATCTAAACATTAAGTGAGCTATTTGAAAATATCTTGAGGTTTTTTCAAGTGTTTTCAAGACGTTGCATTTGGTTTTTGGAGAGAGAGAGAGAGAGAGTCCCATTTTGTTATTGTAGAGCCTCTATATTTATAGGCAAGAATTCCTAATGATGAAGGTTGAAAAAGGATATTTGGTTGCTATCCAAAGTCAGCTGTTGATCTATCTTCCTAAGCCAGTCTATAGGTGAGAGGACGGAATATCTTGGACAAAATTGCTGGTCTCAAGAGATGCTTTTATGACCTGTATCTTTTGTAGCTGGAAATCCAGTTGGTAATCGGTTTCTTCTGGTTCTGGTGTCTATTATCCAGCTTGTAATTCTTGTCGGAAGAGAAGACGGTCAAGTCGCCATTAATGGTGACAATCTTTCTTTAAACCCTCACGTGGGTCGATGTGCAATGGTTACCAAGTTTCTTAACTTTTAGTGTGGACCAAAGTTGGGGTCTCTTAGCATTGTGGGCTTCTACGGAGTTCTTACCCATTGTTGGCCCAAAATCAAAAGGTTCTTTTTGTCGTTTCTAAAGGAAAGATATTGGGTTTGGGCTTAATAAGTCTTTTTTAAGAATAAAACCATTTTTGGCCTATTTTCCAAATATAGTACAAACATCTAGTAAATTATAATTTTCAGGGGAACTCTTGTTGCATTACTTTCCCCAAGTTTCTAGGCAAAGAAAAGAATCCTTCCACAATGATTTGTTTTATTTCACTTTATCTATTCACAGAAAATTAAGGAGTTCTTTCCTCAGAGGAACTTTTCGTGTTTTTATTTTTTTCTTAAACAAAGAGTACAATTAAAAGTAGGATTAACTCTCCAACGGGCTCTAGCTGAGTGAAAAAGGGCCTTAACTTGCAGACTAGTGATCTCAGGTTCAAAACCTCATAGTATCTTGGTATTGTATTTGTGTGTGTGAGAAACCACCATGCTTTTGTAGTTTAGACTACCGCTATTATTATTATTTTTGAGGCAGATTGCTTGTAGATTATCTCTGTTGTTGATAGTATGGAGGAGCATACCTTTTATATTGGATGCATTCTCGAGGACGTCAAGGCAGGTATTAAAACCCATATAGTGGTTTTGGTTTTGCATCTACCCGTCACCAAGTGCACGAAGCTGCTCTGCTCACCGCTTGGCTGTGTTCCGTTATCTTGTGGTTCATGATGCTTTGTTTTTTGATCTGTGTAATAGGGGTAAGGCCTTAAGTCCTCCCGTTTTGTTTCGATGGAAGCTTAATGAAACTCCTGCTCTTTATAATTCAACAGGAAAAAAAAAGACTATTTCCAAACATGTCAAATTTTAGTCTAAAAAGGAACCGCCGTAGGACTAAAACACCAAATACACCTGAGTTTCTTCACTAGTCTCAAGGCAAGAATCAAGATTAAGGAGTCAACTTTCATCATTTTCTCTTTTCATTGCTCCATTTCACTTTATCTAGTGAGAAAATGATACTCATTTATTAAAAAAAACTCCGGTAATTAGTCGCAAAAATCTGTTTCATTGTGATTTAAAAATTCATAAAATCCTATTCATGGTGTTCCTCAACACCCATTATAAATTTATAAGAGATATTTCATTGCTTAGAAACAGAATGTTTCGTATAAAAATAAAAATAAAAACAGAAAGTTCTTGAGTAGCCAAAAACATTGATGATATATATTGTGCATGCATCATTCAAAAATTTCGATCCTTTTTTAGCGTTGAAACAAATATGCCCTAAAATATATATGCTAACAAATCGGGTATGATGGATTCGTAACATCTTAAACAGAAACTCCACTATAGGTTAGTTGCCCAATTTCAATTCATGGCATGTACCAAGGAATCTAAGATAAGAAGAAGCTGTCTAGAGACCTCTACACCTTCAAATGAAGAAAAAAAAACAAAAACAGAAGAAAGCCAATTGACACACGCACACACCAAGGGGCTAGATATCGACAAATAGATTGTAGAATGGAACTGTTAAATCCATATTCAATCAAAGGTAGATTGGTACAACATAGAATTCACTTGAGTAAAATTAAACTCTCAATATAAGCATCGACATACCCGCAAGGCTTCATCATTTTGATTCCGGTGTTGGTGGTTTGGTGCGCCTCAGGATCATATAAAACCAAATATGGACCTTTCGAAAAAGTACCTGTCATAACCATAAGAAATCTGCCATTTCCAGTGAACGCTAGTGGACCTGGTACACATCCCCTTTCGGGGAGAAAAATGGTGCAGGTCTTTTTCCAAGTATCCATTTCAAGAACCCATACGTCATAAAACCAACCCGGTTGCCCATCTTGTCTTCGTCGATGGAAGAAGGAAAGTGATTTCTCAAACACTCGAATATGAATGTGTCGGAAACTTGTGCGTTCATGATGTAGCATGATCCTTACTTCATGAGGTAGCATGATCCTTCTAAACTCCTCACTGCCAAAATCAAAAGAAAGAATGAAGGTGGAACCTTGAAAAGGCTCTCTTGTACTCCAATACACAACTCCATTCAAGAATGCACATTCGTCTTCAGAAACACTAACATCAGGAGGAACTGCACTAATTCTTCTCCAAGAATTCAGTCTAAGGCTGTAAACCTCAACCTCAAACTCTTTGCGTTCAAACCTCATCACCCTCACAATCTTATAGTCATTTTTGCTACGATGAAATCCAAAGCCGATAGCAACGACATAGGTTGCTGATGGAGGGATTCCATAGATATATAGAAATAAAATCCGACATGCAAAACAATCCATTGCAAGAACCAATAACGGCATAAAAATCGGACAAAGGAACCTTTACATCCAAACACTTGGAAAATGATTCAGCACAACAGATTGAAAAGCAACCACTTTTGCTGGTCTCGATAAGTAGATAATCACATGCTTTTTTCATGACACTTGTTTCGAGATGGGCGCTTATATATGAAATCAGGGCTTCTAATCAAGTGTTCCAAGATTGGCAAACACATCTGCACTGCAAAAGAGATTTCACGGGTAATCTTGCAAGGATTTTAAAAAAGATTTCTTCGGGCAACACTTGTCCGTCTCTTATTCGTCTTCGTCTCCTTTCATACATGAGGGTTGTTGACATGTTGAAAACAAAACTGCCTACAGAAATCAACTGGTTTTATGCCAATAAGTAAAGCCAAATTAGAAATCCTTTACCCATTCAAACAAACGTGAGAAGAAGTTTGAAACTTGATGACTTATTCAATGGGTTAGGCCCTCAACAATACAGATAAGGCACTATGACGAGAAGGAAAAGAATTCCTTACCGACAAAACTTAAGTACAAGGAAGGACAATCCAACGGGTTCCAAGTGGGTGAGGAATAATCCGACGGATCATGGATTCTGTGACAAATACGCGAACCCTAGCTCAGTCATCAAATTGAGAATGATTGATAGGCTCTCTGTCCTCTCGCATCCCATGGTGGAATTCGTGTAAACGCCGTAGTTTCGGCATTCATAAATGGCTTCATTAATGAAACTGTGGGCACGGTCGGTTAAGCCCGAGTTCTCATCTAAAATGGGAACTTAACCGGTACTATTCATTCGGTCCAATTCAATCTGGGTTTTTTAAAACCGAAATGTCTGAGAGAATCGAACCGAACCAACCCGGGTATCTTTTGAAAAACCTACCGTTCATATAAGAAACAATGAGGTCATTGGTTTTGCTGGGTTTGTTGGGAAGAGAAGTTCAAGATTGTCAAGGGGTAGCTTCTAGGCCTTTTGTGTCTACATGAGGTTTTGGGAACGAAGTGTCATTCATAGAGATTTTTCTTGGATTTTTGCTGGTTAGCAGATAGTAAAAACTATGTTCTTAATTATGTTTTGTAGCCGGTTACAAAGTTTTTTCTTGTAAAAAGAAAAGAAAAAACATTGTTTATATTTTGGTTTGACACGATGCGTGGCCGTCTATAGCAAGTGGTGGCTGGCCGGAAAGGGTTGCCAGAGGTAGACATATGGCATTGCGTGATTGACTTAGAAGGAGTGGTAATGTAATTTTTAGATTTTGTAATTACATTATTATAAAATTGCATTCTATATTTTAGTCATTAACCTTTATCTGGATGACGAGAAATTGAGTTATTATCTACTACAATAATAAACTTCCTATTGGGTTTAAACCAAAGCTCCCATTTGTGCTTTATATATTGAGGGACCCACTGAATAAAGGATAAATCATCAAGTTTCAAATTTCTACATGCATGGTATCAGAGGTTCTCACGTTTCGACTTTCGATTTTTGCATAAGGTATATAGGCTTAGTTGGTGGTTATCTGATCTTTACGTTGCTTAGTTGAAGTTCCAACCATGAATTGGGTGGTGATGTGTTTCATAATCTTTTGTTGCAGTTGGTTTCTGTTCATGGTGTCTAATTGAATTGTCGTTTTAAAATGCTCTTATTTTCTTGTTAAAACCAGTTGTGTTCTGCAGGCATTTTTGTTTTCAACATTTCAACAATCCTCAAGTTTGATAGAACGAAGAAGACTAGTTAGAATGCTCGAAGACATCTTGTTTGAAATCCTTGCAAGATTACCTGTGAAATCTCTTTTGCGGTGCAGATGTGTTTGCCAATCTTAGAACACTTTGATTAACAGCCCTGATTTCATAAACTCGCATCTCAAAATAAGTGTCATGAAAAAACCTCTGATTATCTACTTATCCACACCCGCACAAGAAATTGCTTTTCACTTTGTTGTGCTGAAACATTTTCCAAGTGTCTGGATTTAAGGGTTCCTGTGCACGAAAGTGTTTATGTCGTTAATGATTCTTGCAATGGATTGCTTTGCCTCTCTAGTTGTCGTTCAATATATCTATGAAATCCCTCAATCAAACAAGACCAAGCTTACAAAACTTTTGTCATTGCTCTCGGGTTCGGGTTTCACCGCGAAAATGACTATAAGGTTGTGAGGGTGATGGGGTTTAGACCCAAAGAAAATATGTTTGAGGTTGAGGTTTACAGCCTTAGACTGAATGCTTGGAGAAAAATTAGCGCAGTTCCTCCTGATGTAGTGTTTCCAAAGTAGAATGTGTATTCTTGAATGGAGTTGTGTATTGGAGTACAATGGACCCTTCTCAACATCCCACTTTCATTCTTTCTTTTGATTTTGGAAGTGAGGAGTTTAAAAGGATCATGTTACCTCGTGCAGTACCCGCAGTTTTAGAACAAACTCCGATTCGAGTGTCTGAGAACTCACTTTCATTCTTCCACCGAAGACATGATGAACAACTGGGCTGGTTTTATGAGTTATGGATTCTTGAAATGTATACTTGGAAAAAGACCCACACGATTCTTCTCCCCACAAGGGTATATGTATCATGTTCACTGGGGTTCACAGAAAATGGCAGATTTCTTACGGTTGTGCCAAGTACTTTTCCGGAAGAATCAAATTTGGTTTTATATGATCCCCAGTCACAGCAACCCAGCAATACCGAAATCAAAATGATGAAGCCTTGTGGGTATGTCGATGCTTATTGAGAGTTTAATTTTACTCAACTGAAATTCTATGCTTAAGCAAATTTTTGTGAGTTGTATTCAAGTTCCATTTTACAATTAGGTGGTTATTTATAACTTATACCTGCCTTTGATTGAATATGGATTCAACAGTTCCATTCTAGAATTTGTGTTTGGCATTATCTTGCCCCTTGGCTTGTGTGTCACTGTCAATTGGCCTTTTGTTTTTGTATTTTTCCCATTCTAGAATTATAACATAAGTATATTTATTATCGCCCCTAGAAAAGGTTATGGGTTCGAGTCCTAGCATAGTAACATCCATGTAATGTGTGTAAGTTTAGCATACTATCGCTCATTCTTTATTAAAAAAAACAAAGTGATTTTCTAAGAAAGATGTGTTGACTTTTTGGTCCAATTTGTACATGGGTTTTGCGGCTTTTAAGAATACATTTCTTGTTGCACTTTATATACAGAAAATTCAATTGAGAGGACTCTCAAATAAGCTTATTTAAGCATTAAATAAGCCTGAGGTCATGATTCATGACCACTTGTGCGTCTCTTATTCGCTTTATTATTTGATACTTGAGGGTGCACATGTTAATGCCAAACAGAAATGCCTACATAACTGATTTTAACAAGAAAATAAAAAGCATTCCAAAATGGCAACTCCAGACGCCATAAGCAGAAACCCACCTCATCAAAAGCTCATGAAACACAATGCAAGTCTGGCACACTTCAACTTAGGAATATAATCAAATATCCAAGAAGTAAATGGAAATTCCAGACACCATAAGTAGAAATCCACCTCAACAAAAGCTCATGAAACACAGAAAAACACAACTTACTCTATATGGTTATGGGCATGCACTCTTACTGTTGTTTCAATAACATTGCTAAGAACACCAAAAGCTTTCCGCTATCTTACTCCTATCAAAGACATGCCGAACCACCCAAAACATATCTATTAAAGACATTATGGCTGCCCTGCCATGACCAGAAGAGAAGAGTGCAAGGATTTTGGTTCTTCAAGTTCTTTTCAAGGAATATTCATTAAAAGCTAACTGTCAAATGTTTAAAACAGATCTATCAAATACATGAATATCGATCAGTCCACAAGCTCCAAAATCAGTCACCAATTTACATCTAACATATGACTCGTCATTATGTGACACCAAAAACAGAATTCACTACACACATGTATAACGGGAACTCAGAACTCAGAACTAGAAATTCAGTTGAGTAAAATTAGACTCTCCCTATAAGCATCGACAAACTGAGAGTGATAACTCAAGCTGATTCCGGTATCCTTAGCTCTCCGCAACACAGGATCACATAAAACCAAAATTGGGTCACGTTGCATATTTCGAACATGCCTAACCAAATGAAATTTGTTATCTGTTCTAATCCCCAATGGCCATGCTACAGATTCACATCTTGGAAGACGAATTGTGTGGTTCATTGTCCAAGTATCTGCTTCCACAACCCATATGTCACAGTACCAAACATTGTCATCTTTTCTTTGATGGAACAAAGAAAGCGATTCTTCAAACACTTGAACAGTAGGTACAGACGCCACTCCGAACAACATATCTGGAAGCATAATCTTTTGAAAAACCTCACTGTCGAGATCAAAGGAAACAATGGAAGTGCAATGTTGAGAAGGCTCCACTGTAATCCAATACAAAAATCCATTGAAGAATAAACACTTGGGTTGAGGAAAACGGGCTTGTTGTGAAACAGGCGGAGTTGCAGTAATTCTTCTCCAAGTATCCAATCTAAGGCTGTAAACCTCAACTGCAAAGAAATCTTTCTTGCGTGGAAACCTCACAACCCTCACAACCTTATAGTCGTCCCCCCTCTCATGAAACCCAAACCCAAGAGTAACAAAATGGGCAGTTTGCAGGATGTGGCAATCGGGAAGTTTTTTGAATACTCTGATTGATGGATTCAACAGATATATAGGACTTGCCAAATTCACACGCCAAGTGGCGGAGATGCAAAGCACCCCGTTGCAAGAACCATAAACTGCATATGAGACATGTTTGGGCCTAGGAAGCTCTAGATCAAAACGCTTTGTAAATTCTTCAGCATCATAGACTGAGAAGCCACTTACATCATACCCAGTGTGGATAACTAGACAATCACATGCATTTTTCAAGACATTTCTTTTGAGATGGGCGTTCATGAAATCAGGGTTTCTAATTAAACTCTTCCAAGATTTGCAAACACATCTGCTCCGCAAAAGTGATTTCACACTCAGTCTTGTAAAGATTTCAAACAAGATCTCTTGGGGAAAGTCATCTATCTTGCTCACTTGTGCGTCTCTTCTTCTCTTTGTTTGATACTCGATGTTAAACATGTTGATGCCAAACAGAAATCTCTACAGAACTCAACTGATTTTAACAAGAAAATACAGAGCATTCCAAAATGGCAAATCCAGATGCCATAACCAGAAACCCACCTCAACAGAAGCTCGTGAAACACAATCCTACTCTTGCACACTTTAACTAAGGAGTATATTCACATATCCAAGAAGTAAATGGCAAATCCAGACGCCATAACCAGAAACCCACCTCAACAAAAGCTCATGAAACACAATACAATTCTTGCACCGCTTCAACTAAGGAATATAATCAATCATAAAACCAAGAAGTAAAGCATACCTCACCTTGTTACTCAATCAAACAAATGCGGGAATTCAAGACACCCTCAATCGTCCATGCCACAAAGAAAAGAACCATAAATCTATTCCCTCTCCTCTCTCATGGCGGCTTGGCTTCGTTCACAACCGACCTTAGTTTGCCTCTTGAGGTTTCGGGTCTCGTTTCGTTGGGTTTTGCTGTTATGATTCTTAAGCGTCTAGATATTAATTTGAGCTTTTTGTTTCTCTTTCTTGGAGTGGAGGTTGGCTTATTAGTACTTGGGTTTCATTTCATGCACTTCCCTTCCAAAGCTTTAAAACGGGGCCGTTTTGCAGCAAAGACTGACGTCTTCTATTCTAACAGGAAAAACAATAGACAAGGCTACGAGTGAAACTGCCGAGCAAAGTTTCCAATTTCGCCTCTTGTGTTGTTGGTATTTTGTTTTCTCATCCTTGTCTTTTGGTTATTTTTTTAAAGCTTTTTTCCCTTCTTGCCCACATCTAGGGCTGTAAATCAGCACTATCTTTGAGTTTGGCTTGAATTTAGTTCATTTAAACTCGGTTCATAATAGAAACAAGCCAAGACGACCGTGACCCGCAAAAGAAACAAGTCTACCCAAGCCAACATTTTATAAATTTAAACAAGCTAAGCTAGAGTACTTTGATATTCGGCGTGGCCTCACTCAATAAAATTTAAACCAGCTACGCTTGACTTGAGTGCTTTAATATTTGGCTTGGCTCGGATACACCCTTACCCATAGAGAAACACCTGTGTAAAACGGAGATAGCACATGGCCAATCACAGCATGCCACACGTGATAAATTTTCCACTGCGCATTATGTAATTGGCTAGGGATAACCAAACACTGTTATCCTTGTTTCCCACAAGATTTTCTGCTACAGACATCCTTGAATGGTAGAATGTTGATGTGGGCCAAATGGCAACATGGACCCCTCTATGCTTCTCTGCATTCAATAAAAGGGGCAGACAACAGGTGTAGTGAAAGTTGAAATTAAGTTGGATCACAAAACAATGTCACAGCTTTGAAGTGGAATCATATAACCCTTTAATTTTATAAATTCTTGCTGCAATAATACATATAATAATATACAGATGTATCCTTTACACGGATTCTTTTCTCTCGATAAGCAATTCTAGACTTTTGATGTCAAAGAATCAGTTTTCTGAGCTCTAGTTGAATAAGAAGAGGTTCTTGAGGGGCGAATGAGGGATTTAGTATATGCAATAGGCAAAGCAAGTAATTTCTTAGCTTTGCTTACATAAGCCCTTCTTGTGAAGTTGTTGTAATCGTTAGCTTCTATCTCATCCAATATTTGGCGATACAGAAGTAGGGAAGCCCATACCTGCAACAGGTGAACATTTCTATCAGAAGGGTCAAATTTTGTTGGTCTCTCTAATAAGATTTTTCCTTTTAACTAAGGAATTCGGAATTTAGATAAACATCTTAATGATTGTACACGTGTCATAATTTGGGTGAATTCCATACACCATGTAGGCATCTAAAGTGGTGTACCGGACACACACAATAATTATTCATGAATGGTCAATTAAAACCAAATAGGACATCATATCTTTGTGAGCATTTGTTCCATATTTAGTAGTAAAACATGTGAGGCTTACCGGCCATCTGCTGGCTTCACTCAACTCTGTCACACCCTTCTCTGCCTCGTCGAAGAACATCCTTGCCCTCTTAATTTGATTCTTCATGAAACTCCTCCACTTGTCTGTGACCTTTCCAGCATATATGTCAGAATCAGAAAGCCCTGCTTGTGCAAGTTCATCTTGTGGTAAATAAATTCTTCCTCTCCTTGCACTGGTCAAGAAAATGCTTATAAGTGGGATACAAAATTAATGGAAGTGTGAGCTAATTACTACTAATTATAGAGTAAATTCCAATAGTAGATGACAACCCATGTGATCTTAAACAAAAGCAAAGTATTTACAAAGGGGAAAAACCAGCTCCTGCACAATTCAAAGCATACATACTCCACTCCTAGTTAACTTTCCATTCTTCATTTTAAATTTCTCTCTTCTATTTTTTTTCAAGTGTTATTTTTTCTTTAAGCTATCAAGAGAGAGAGAGAGAGAGAGAGAATGAAGTCTGTTAAAAGATTCCATTTGCAACTTCTTCTGTCGCTCTCATTCAACTAGAGCTTAGAGAATTGTATCTTGGAGTCTTATGTGACTTTCAAAAGCACGAACTGAAAATCAGACTGTCAGGGTCAGCTATAATTGGATAGCCTACCAGTGAGTTACAGGCCAGCTAAAATTGGATAGCCTACCACTGAATTATAAGCCAGCTTTACTCTATAGTTTTGGGCACTGCTGTTTCAATAACATTGCTGATATGATTGGAAAAATTCAGCATATAAATCGTTAGTGCTATGTACTTACTCCTCCCCAACATCCCTGAGAATGTTTGTGAGCTGATTTGCAATCCCTAACGCCAAGGCAGCATTATATACACTCTCCGTTGTTGCTTGCGATTCAGGTGAAATGCCCATAACTGGAACACTCATTAATCCAACAGTCCCAGCAACATAATAGCAGTAGAGATATAGTTCATCGAAGTTTTGGTATATTGACTTCCTAAGGTCCATTCTCATTCCTTCTATCATATCTTTGAATGGCTACAAAAAGAGCAGAAGATAGGGTCAGAACTCAGAAGTTCATGGGCAAACAAAGCTTTAAAATAAATTCACAAGCTTAATCTTAGTTTGAATTGAATTATCAATCAAATTGAAAAGGTAACTGTCTGATGGATGAAAATGGGTAGGTATTAAACTCAAAAATTTCCATGCATTAAAGAAATAGTGCATTCTTGTATGTGAAGTACCAAATAGTAACTTGAAAACAGAGATAGCTGGTAAAATCCATTTCAGCTAGACATCTATAGCTTGATGCTTGACACTTCTTGGCTGGAAGCATGTGGATTACACCTACAAGCTTAGCTCTGAATTCCTTTTCACATTTCAAGGTATAGTTCCCAAAGAAGAAAGGTAAAAAGACAAAAGTGGTATTTTCTAAATAAGAAAGTAGATCTTTAGTCAAAACATGATGCATAGAACATTTTAAAGATTTGCTTTATTTGACTTCATACAAGATTTTGGTAGTTATCTTACCTGAATGTCAACGGGAAATTTGTTGACTGTATCTGACAAAGCAGCATCTAGCATATCAAATGGACGACCTTGGAAAAGATCTTCTAACCTCGACTCCCACCTATCTAAAGCTGTTGGTGTTATGTGTGAGGCGTTAGGCCCATCAACAAGCTCATCTGTCCTCCTACACCACACTGTATGTGCAAGAGATCATCATAAGAACAAAAGAGGAAATATGTTTTTGCATGTAGGTTGAAGTTGAGAACAAACATCCATAGCAATATATGTTTAACAGAAACACGTACTATAAGAGAAGAACAGAAAGAACAAGAATTAGGACAAGTTGACAAGATAACCAATCATTCTTCATAAACAAGATTCTGCCTACAAGTAGGAATATCTTGATCTCATCATTTCTTTTTTAAGAAAAATAAAGAAAGAAAAAGAGGTACTTTCAAAATGCTAGTGATAAAATGGAAGGAAGCACATTGTAGATCATTTCTTTAGCACAGAAAATCACATTTTAGTGAATAATTTATTTGGGACTTATTGCTCTGTCTCTGTGTTACTAGATGAAAAGGGAGCAAATATACTGAGTTACCAATAGATAATACAGATTTATTACACATCCCAAATTATAGGTAAGCTACCATATGCTTTAAAATATTATTTTTTCTAACAAAAGCAAGAAGCCCTTTTCCTAGGATTAGGTCCACAGTTCAAAATGAATAATAGTCATAGTCACTCACCATATATTGCCCAGATGGCCCTTCTTCTTTCAGGGGTCATAAGCAGAGTTCCTGAAACGTGAAAAGCAAAATAGAATTCAGTGAGTGACTGAAAAAGATTACTAATGCTGCAATTAGATCACTACTTCTTGACCACAAAAAGAATAAAAAAGATCACTACTTTAGCTGCAAAGTTCAAGCCAAAATTACTTTGAATAGCAAAAATCATTTAAGAGAAGACCAACCCAGATAAAAAGTCTTGGCATACTCTGCACATACTTCTCCACATCGATCATAAGCATCACTCATCAAGCTCAGATTCCCGGGAAGAACAATATCAGGCTTCACATCAAGATCTCCATTAGACTTCAACTGCTTCTTAACCAAGGCCGCCTGCTTTAGCACGACATCATAAACCTTCTGTTCAGATGAGACAGCTATTTCTCCAACCGGGTTGGCCACCACGCGTGATAAAACCGAAAATTTGGTTTCACTGCCTAGGCCAGAGTTCCCTACAGATGAATACTTCACATCTGTACTGAGAGAGCAAGATTTCCGTTTCTGTTTCCTACCCATCTTTGCTCTAATCGAACTTCGATTTCCCAAAGCAAACCTTGATGAATCTAAAATCCCAAAGAAGTTGAACACCTCTGTATTGGGGGAAACGACCCATAGTAATGCTACAGACATTTTGTTTGAACTTGAAACCTCAGCCACCAAACTCTACCCAGGTATGCCTTGTCGTTTTACACTTCGCTTCTCAAACCTTAATTCACACAAAACTCATTTCAGTTTCATCTCCTTTGAGAGAAAGGTAGTTCAAACTGCCCAAGTAAAATGATTGGCAAAATTTGCACAAAATATAAAAGTATAGAAGCTTAACCAACTGCCTCCTCCAGTTACCCAAACAGAAAATAAAGGCATTAATAGCATTACCAAGAAGAAACTCACAAGTGGGATCTCAAACTCAAAAAACAAAACAAAACAAAAAAGAATATGTTCAACAACTTGACATGCAGATGTTCACTGAAATGACTGAAACAATTATTTCCAAGCAAAGTTAATCGTGCCCACTTTGTATCATGAAAAGCTCAGCAAAAATCTGGCCAGAGAAATTGCAGGACATAGAATTATTGTGACAGAGAAGCACCACATACCTATTGGGTTGTTGTTGTTGCTGCTGCTGCTTAGACCCACTTTCAGCAGCTCCCAATTAATTAAAACCAAGTCCAAAGCATCAACATCATGACCAAAAAAACTAACAACGGCCACTATGACCTTCCCTCAAAACCTGACCCACCTCAACTCTCCACTCTCCCAGACTCTCTCTCTCTCTCTCTCTCTCTCTTACTACAATGCGTCTGGTTCTTGACTTCTTTCTTTATTCAGTTTCCTACAAAAATGTCTTCTTCTTTTTCCATTTTATAAATGTCTTTTTTTTTCTTCTTCTTTTTGGGTTTTATTTTATTTTTAATTTTAATATATTTTATACTGCCTTTGTTTGTCACTTACCTTCAGGATTGAGATTCACTGATTCAGTTGTTTCAGTTTCTTTCCCCTTTGGTTCAATAGCAAGTTGCGATTTTATGTCCTAACATAAAGTCCGCAAATGTTTCATCCCTTTCTTATTTCAATTTCAACTCAACCCCTGTCTCAAAATTAAATAATAAAAAATTTCAATTCCACCCATGTACAGTCTTGGGTTTGACTTGTGACCCGGATTAATGGAATTCTTGGTAGTTAAAACTCTTTGGCTATCAATGCATTTCCAATATTAACGAAGCAGTATGAATTTCAAAATTTTGAAACTTTCCTCATTAAATGTACAGATTTGGGTAGTATTTGTCTCCCATGATTGGATTCTTCAATTAAAAATCTAGCAATCCAAGCGCATAGAAATACTAAAAATATACGTCACTGGTAGAGTTCAAATCTGAAACTACTTTGAATATTAGAAAAAGAAATTAGACAAAAATATAGTTAAGTAACCTTTAAGAAATATGAACATGAATATTTTAAAGTGGTTCCATTTATAAATAAACATGTTGGTTGTTTAACGAGTTTAATACTTTTGTAATCTTCATATTATATCCCTATTTGCATAGTTTATCAATGAAGAAAAGTATTTTGTTTGGTATTCCACTTAGGAAATAATATTTCAGTCAGTTTCAATGCTATTGCTTTTGGTTCCCAATTAATTATGTTGGTAGGTCTGGGCCCGACCCGGATCCGAAAAGAAAACAGATCCGAGAGCAAAGTCAGCACTTTTTAGAAAGGGAGATCCATAAGGATGACAACGCGGAAAAGCCGCCCAATCAGTGGAGGATAACGTTATCAAATGGCTAACTGGAAAGAGGGTAGAGAGGCAAAGAGGGGGTGGGGATGTACACGTGGCAGATCCTGAGCAAGCCATTGAATTTCAATTTGGTTAGGAGAGAGAAAGAGTGATGATGATGGTGGACTGTACTGTAGCAGTGTGGTGTGTGAAGTGAGAGGTTTTTGTTGTTGTTTTTTGTGTGTGTTTACATAGGATATCCGCAAGGATACTTTTACAACGGGCCAATATATTTATAATTAAAACTGTATTTTATAATGGGATAGTAACAGTTAGATATCAAACTCGTCACAAATATATATATAATTATTGTATATGAGTTAAATCTAAAATCTACTCCAATGGAATGAAGAAAAATACCACTAAACGAAAGGCTAGTTGGTGCGTGCGAATGAAGTGAGAGGTTGGAAGGTTGGTTGGGTGAGTGTTGTTTTATATTTGGCCACCTAAATAATGAGAGACAAAAGGTGTGTGAGTGTGGGGGTGTGACTGTCGTTTTGCCTAATCTTGTGCATTTGCGTATTTGTCTTGGAGTGTAAAAGTGCGTGGGAAAAGACCACATTGGAAGGGAGGAGGAGGAGGGGGGGCCTAGGCTTGTCTCCACACGTTTCGATGCAGGGTTTGAGGGTCGGCTATTTGACACGTAGCCCTTCTGCACTTTCTTTGGGCTTCTATTTGTTTTATTCGTTTCATGTCATTAGGTCATTGATCACCATGCATATTTCTTCACGTTAATTACGAAGAGGAGGAGAGGATTTGATTTGAAGGCTTGGCCAGAAATAGTAATGTCAAAACAAGTCCATCCAAATTGCGTGTCATGTCATAATACCTCATGATCCAAAATCCACATCATGAATTTGCTTGGAGATTGTCCACGTCATCGTCAACTCGTAGCTTCAAGAGTTCTCTAATCCGATATCAAATATGAGGGAGTTAATACATGGTATACGAAATAGCTCTTAGTTTAATGATGTTTTTCTTTTAAATGTTAGAAAATATTACAAGTTCAAATTTATCTTTTATATTAAATTTTAAAAAGAAAAACATTCATATAATCACAACCCCCATTAGCCTCATGCTTTTTCATCTTGCATTAGAGAAACTCCTATGTCACTTATAAATACTAAGTCATACGAGAAGTAGAATTTATTGTGTTAATTAACAAGTTAATTTAGTAGTATTTTTCTTTCTAATGTTGAAGCATCACTCGCATAATCTTCTAAGAAAGTTAAACCAATTCAAGGAATTTTGGAATGTGGGTCATACTAATTGGGTTAGGACAAACGTGTCTCCACTCTCTTGTACTCCGGTTGAACTCCCTCCATACAAATTAGAATAATTTGGAATATCATTTTGTGAAAAAACCACATGGCTTTGCCCCAAATTTACACAAAATATAACTGCAAACTATTAAGTTGATTTAGTACATATATTTGGACGCTCATTCTTTTTCAACACTCATTCACATTTTTCAACATTTTCTAGACAACAAAATCTTTTAGGACTACCCATTTATTTTACTTTGCACACCCGTAAGACTTGTGCAGCTATGTGGAACTGCATAACTTCAGTCAAACACGACTCTTCTAGCTACACAAGTCCACAATATGTGTTTTAAGTTATTGTAACTCTAATCAATTGCACGTACCGTGAACCCATAAATTTTTCAAAGCCAAACACAAAATACAAATGTGAAAAGAAAATCAATAAAACAAATCATACATTTTCTTCCTCATAGATAATCTCCTTTGTGCATTTTCCTCCTCATAAATGTATGCAATTTTTATGTGAATCAGGGATTAGAGAGTTTTTAAAAAAAAAGGGCGAGTTAGGGGTTAAGGAGTTAGAGAAATAGGTGAAGAGAGAGTTGGAGGGTGGTGTTTGACAACATTTTGTGGGTGTCTTGTTTGAGTGCTCAAGAAATTAATATTTTTTTTAAGAGAAGGTGATAAGCCTTTAAAAAGAGAGAAAATTGTCCTTTTATTTTAAATATCAATTAAATTTGTCTGTGATATCAAAATAAAGGGATTTTAAATGGTGTAGGGGTTATTGCTCTTGACCAATTGAGCTACAAATCCATTGATATTTAATATAATGTTTGATTCACAAATATGGATGGGATAACTATTTTTACTTTTTCCCAAATGTGAGGAATAATTGGGAGTATGATGAAATTTCAATGTGGACTTTTGACATAATGGTGTAAGGGGATGTAGCTCAAGTTGTTAATAACATTTGCCATGCATTTTAGTACTTGTTGACCTTTTCACCTATATTGCTTTTGTAAAAGGAAAAAAAAACATGATATTTCTCATGTTAGAAAAAATCTGAAATTCAAAGGTTCTTAAGATTATATAGTTTTCGAAACTAGACCCAATTGTTTTTAATGGGCTGTTTCTCAATTTACGGCAAGTTTGCTTTGTGTGCAATTGGACTGCAAACCCAAACTTAAAATAGAAGAACTTCATAGTTTTTTGGGTTTTACAATTCACCCTCTTACAAAATAAATTTCTAGCCAACATTTTCCATTAGCCAACAAACAATTCTGGATATTTAGCCTTGACACTAGACTCCAACTCCCAGGTTGCTTCCTCAATACTATGATTCTGCCATATCACCTTAACTAATTGAATGTTCCGTTCCTACTACGAAGAACCTGTTCTTTTCAATCCACAATTCTAACTGGCTTCTGCTCGTAAGATAGATCTTTTCGAATGCTGAAATCTTTCCAATCCAAAACATGTGAAAGATCTGGTTCAATGCAGATATATGAAATACATCATGGATACAAGAGAGTTCAGGTGGAAAAGCCAGTCTATAAGAAAGCTCACCAACTAGTTCCAAAACTTCAAAAGGACCAATAAGACGTGGAGCAAGTTTTTCGCCTTTGTCAAACCTTTTGAGTCCACTACGAGGTCTAATCATAAGGAATACATGGTCTCCAAGCCTGTAGTTTGGATGATCTCCCTTGATTAGCACGGCTTTTGGAACGACTTCGGGGAGTCGAAAGGCATTGTGTGAGAGGTTTCACTGCTTTGGCGGTCTCCCTAACCAAATCAGAACCCAAAAGTGACGAAAACTTCAGTAGCTCATACCGCAAGAATTAACATGGCCTTAATATAAAGGCTACCAAATGCAAAATGGTGAGGTTGTATTTGTTTCTCTAATCAGTGGGACGCAACAATATGAAGATATACAAGTTGGATTGATGCATCAAACAAAATGTATGTTTGCAAATATACATAATCCACCAGAATAACAAAATGCAGAATATACAAGTTTGAATGGATTCATCAAGCTGAATGGTATTTTATCCAAAAAAAACTAAAAGTGCAGGATCTGTGTGATAGAAATA